TTGGACATTATAAATTTATTGTTTATGTCTTCCTATAAATGTGGCAGCACATTAATATGGTATGCTACAAGTTGGTCATGCATAAAAAGTATAACCTGGTGTTGTAGTCGACTGATCTGCATCATCATCCTGTCAAACACAAAGAAAGTGAATTAGTGAAAGGGAAATTAGTTGCCAAAGCATGAGTCGTGAAGAATGAATAATGATGTTCAAACATTAGCCAAGTAAACCAAAGCCAAAAACCCTAAAACATTGAGACAAGCATTATTACTCCAAAAAACAACTCTACCCCTACTAGTCCATGACATTGTAGGACCACCATGAAAAATGAGAATCAATGGCTTATAAAGAAAGGCCAATCACATAATGAAAATGCAGAAATATCATTTCTGGTAGAAAACATACCTGAGGAGATAATGTTATTTGGAAGCACCTATTTGAAGTGTTCAACCCACTCTCACCAGAATGAATTTCTGATACGAAAGCAACAATCATTAGAGGTCAGGAGGTTACGGTAAATTTTAGCAGAGAGAGAAAGGCAAGCCCAACAAAAGAAGGGTGAAAGGATGGACCTTTGAATTCATCCATAAGTATTGCTTCCAGGGCTTCGATTTCCATCTCCTGCTCCTGCACGTGGTCTGTAAAACATAATTCAGATAAATGAAATTATGTTGAAGGAAATACACCATGAACCTATCTCAAAACAGCATCACATTCTTCCCTCAATTGACTAATTAAGGTTCAATCAATATCAGTAAATGTTAGGTTGATCATATTTTATTCCCTTGGTGTCTGCTTGGGAAGTAAAGTTATCTTTCATGACTAATGTAACTATATTTGTTAGTTCTCTTACAACATGATGATTGATGGGCAATGTGTCAGGTTGAACCACCAATTTGTGCCTGAGTTCCTTTCAAAAATTTTACTTTTACCACTTTTGCTTCACTGATACTAGCTTTGATATATATATATATATAAAGCAATCATTATAAGGTAAATCGCATGATATTTTACAAAACCCATATCTCAAAAACGACTGTTTAAAAAAAACATTCAACTTCAACCCCAAAAGTTTTCCATTGCAGATGTTGGGTATCTCTGATTACCTAAGAAGCTAATTGCCTTGCATTACTCCTTGAAGAAACAAAACTAAATTGATAGAAGAAAACCGTTAAAAAGAAAAACAAATGAACACTAAGGAGAAAATAAAAGGAAAAATAATAACTCAATTACTCCATTGAAGATACTTGAAGGGCGGTCTTAACACACTTGATATGCAATTAAATAATAGAATTGATCAGAAAAAAACAATTTTTACAAAATAATGAATTGAAAAAAGGAATTACCCGTCATGGTTATGAAGTTGAGAAACCCTTTTATGCTTTTTTGTTAGTTGGATTTGATTCTGCTTTTCCTCTCGGAGATGAAGATGACCGAAGCTCACAGTCTCCATGGACTTCATCTCCTTAAAAACCTAATGGAAAACCTCACTTAAAACGCACCGTTTGGATAGAATTCGACAATATTTTCACGGTAAATAATATTCGTGGTTATTTTTATTTTCAATTGTATTACTTTTATCATTAAATTTTTAAAAAATATATATATATACATTAATAAAAATAATTAATTTCTACTTTAATTTCTAAAAAAAGACCCTTCAAATAAAATTTAAAATATTTATCTCAATCTTTCTTTAAAAAAAATCAATTTTTTTAATTTAAGTTGTAAATTTATTATTTTCGTCACCTTCAATCGTCATATATACTATCTATGATGTTGTTTTTTTGATAAATAATTTATAATTTAGTAGAAAATAAAAGCAATAATAATAAACTAAAAAATTATCTTTAAAAAATTCTTAGAATCGACAAACAAGTATTAATGTGCTTAGATTAGCAAATGTGCAGTGTTGTGATTTAGTTGACAAATAAAGCACCATTGTTCTTGGATACATATCTTTATTAATAATTAACCTAATAACATATCGACTGTCCACCTCTTACGTACATGCAAAAATAACTTAATGAAAATGCTAGTTTCATTTTCCACACCATTTTTACCCATCAAAAAATAAGATTTTTTATTTTATTTTTTAACCATTGTTGAAAATTGTCATACTTTAACAGCTTTTATGATCACTATGGTGTATGGGTGTAAACGAGCCGAGTCGAGCTCGAGTATTGTTGAGTTTGACTCGACTTGACTCAAAAACTTTGAAATAAAGCTCGACTCGACTTGAAAACTCGCGAGTTTAAAATTTACAAGCTCGACTCGAACTCGAAATCCTACACTGAAGCTCGTGAGCAGCTCGAAAAGGCTCGAAATGAAAAAAAATATCTTACACTTAACTTGATTGAAGCTTCAAACTCAAACTCAAACTCAAACATGAACCTTAAATACAAGAAATCTTACTGTATTTCTTTTATAAAAAAATCAATACATAAATATTAATATTATTAATAATTTATTTCTAAAAAAAATTTTAATATATTATATTTTCGAGCTATTTACGAACTTTTCGAGTCGAATATCGAGTAGCCCGTTTCGGCTCGTTAAGAACTCGAGTCGAGTCCATTCGACCCGAGTATTTATCGAGCCTTGATCGAGTCAATCTCGAGTAGCTCGCGATCTGTCTCGTCTCATTTACAGCCCTACTATGGTGGTTTTTGATATCTTTTGTAGACATCATAGACATTAGCAAATTCGTCTCATTGTTATCTATCATTCTAGTAATTTAGATTTTCTTAAAACTTCAAAATATGAATGATAAGTATTCTTTCAAGAAGATGGATAACATAACTCGAAGTTAACCTTATTGACCAACTGTAAGAAGAGATCAAAGCATTAGAATGTTAAATTTTTAGATGATTTTTCATTATTTTTGAGTGTGCTTCGTAAAAGAAAAACTAATTCAAGAAAGAAAAAAAGAGTAAAAGGCAAATGTTTTAGTATCAATTTTTCCACCAACGATGATTGGCGACAAGTGACGATTAGCTGTTAGTAACAATAATGAAGATTGAATGTTTTCTACTGAAAATAAAGAAGATAACAACAAAGTCATCACATCGTTAATGATTAACATTTCAAAATAATTAGAAAAGTATAATGACAAAATTAAAGCTTTTATAATTTAATAATCAAAATGAAATAAAACTTAAACTTGAGTGATTAATGATATGATTTACCCTAGTTATTTTAATACAAACATCAATCTTATAATAGATAATTTATTTTCATATGAAGTACACTAGAAATCAATGAATTATTCTTAAATATCCTTTTATATAAAATTGTTATTGAGATTATCATAATTATCGAAATTTTATAAATTTAACGATGATTTTTAACATCATAGTGACTATTTTATAACTAGTTTAATAAATTTAATGTTTATTTTATAATATTTAAAAATCTAATGACCGAACATATTTTTGTAAATAGTTTAGTGAATTCTGATGTGTTTTACCCTTTTCTTCTCTTATACGTAATATGCTTGATAAATAAACGCGAATTATATCTTTTCTTGAAGATGGGGAAAAGGTAGAAGGAAGTCGATTTCAATTCAATAAGCAAAAAGACATCAGACTCGATCAAATTACTTAAATAAACCCCCATATTCTGAACCCTAATTTCTTAAAATCACTCTCTGATTCAAATCTTACTCTGCAAACAAAGGGAAAATCCATCCATGGGAAACACCGAGAAGCTCCTGAACCAGATTATGGAGTTGAAATTCACGTCCAAATCGCTACAGCGCCAGGCGAGGAAGTGCGAGAAGGAAGAGAAATCCGAGAAATTGAAGGTAAAGAAGGCGATCGAGAAAGGTAACATGGATGGGGCTCGGATCTACGCCGAGAATGCTATCCGCAAGCGCACTGAGCAGATGAACTACCTCCGGCTCTCCTCCCGACTCGATGCTGTTGTTTCCAGGCTCGATACCCAGGCTAAGATGACCACCATCAACAAGTCCATGGCTAATATCGTCAAATCACTTGAATCTTCCTTGGCCACCGGTAACTTATCCGTAAAAATTTAATTTTTAAATCCTTCGTCGTCTTTAATTCTTTTTTGTGGCTATTAGGGATGCTAATAAATTTTAGGGCAATTGATAGCTAGGTATGCTTAGGCTTGAACTATAGGAGAACAAAAAATCTTGGAAGAATTTTCGTGTATCTAAGATTAAGGACATTATGAAGATAAATAAAATTTTCATATTTTTTATTGTAAATTAATTTTGATGTGAAAGTGGTCAAACTGAGGGTTTTTCTTGTTGCAGGCAATTTGCAGAAAATGTCTCAGACAATGGATCAATTTGAGAAGCAGTTTGTGAATATGGAGGTTCAGCAGAGTTTATGGAGAGTGCTATGGCTGGCTCCACTTCATTATCCACACCAGAAGGTGAGGTCAACAGCTTGATGCAGCAAGTGGCTGATGACTTTGGATTGGAAGTCTCCGTCGGGTTGCCGCAGCCAGCTGCTCATGCCATTCCAACCAAATCACAGGAGAAGGTTGAAGAGGATGATTTGTCTAGGCGGCTTGAGGAGCTCAAAGCTAGAGGTTAAAGAAAATGTTGGAATCCATTTGAATGAGCTTGTGATATATATATATATATATAATAAAAAATGATACTTCTGATTATAACTGCTGCTTAAAGATCTTACTCTATGTGTACATTTGACTGAATTGGATTTTGTTTTCTAATGTTATATATTTGTTTTTCATACAAATGATCTGATGCCTTTAAATCCCTGTAAGAATGTGGGTATATGGGATGCTTGAGTCTATGTGAATGCAATGGTAGAGAGGTTGCATACTTGCATTGTTGTTGGCATGATGTTTGAAGCCTATACCTGTGTTAAATGACTATGTTTCTCAGACTTGGTAGTGATTATCAATGACTCTCTAAGGATCTCCAAATTCATGGAAAAGTTTTATAAAAACCGAATATACTCGTACCGGATACATGTCCCTATCCAACACTCATACCTAAATCTGGGTTAAATTCCTAACACTCTGGACGCTAATCCTAATAAAGGATCCAAAGCACTAGGAGCGAACTTCCTAGCAAAAAGAAAACAAATAGTTGAGGGTTGGTCATTATAAAGACATGCCTGACCTTCAAAGATTCTCTCAAAGAAAGCTTCAGTCATATCATCCTTCCCAAATGTGGCTGGATGAGCGCCGCCCCTTGACCAGTCGGTCCATGTAAGGGTCCAGTTGGCTAAGAGATGAGGCACTTGGATGGTTAGCATTGTGGTGAAGTAGTGCTCATCCACATAACAAGCTGGCTGGCAAAACTCCTTGAACTTTGGATAGTATTTGGTGTCCTCAATTATGTTAACTGCAAGCCTCCTGTCAACTTCAAACCATTGAGATCCTTTGCGCCATTGGCTCAGTTTGACCTCCGGTTCCATGTGTGAATCGTAGCGGCCTCTCCCGTAAGCTCCGGGATCATCATACGATTCCATGAAGCTGTGTTTCGAACTCGATATGTAGTGATAGGTTACGCTGAAATTATATAGAGGGATGCAAGACTCTGACAAGAGAATGAACCATTCGTTGGAAATATCGAGCAACGCGTTCGCAAGGAGTCGTCTCTCGGCCTCACACATACTCATCTTTCCCCACTCCACAATCTGCATATTCAGACAACTTGCCATATCAGCCAAATACCCATCAAAGAAAAAGAAGTTAATATAACTTGATTTGCTAGTACCTGCCTTGGGATTTGTCTCCCACGGAAAGCAGAAGATGATGGATAGCCAGCAACGTAAGATGGCAATGCATGGACATATATAGAGTAATGCCTTTCATTCCCCTTGAAAAACTTGTCCCAAAGAGGAGCCAATGGCAATGGTCCCTTAGTCAAGAACATGAAGGCAATCTTGGGGACTCTCATAAAAGGATATTCCTCAATTTGAGGAACAAATGAAGCTCTCCAAAGTAGTTCATTGTCACTGAGTGAATGCCACAGGTTTGATGGAGGCCTAATCCATCGTTCTATGGTATCGGTCTCGTCGAACCATGGGTGTAAACTCGATGGTGCTACGGTGCCTGTTTGCTGGAAAACAAAGAATCGAACGGAATACATACAGATGATCGACAACCCAATCACCATTACCGCAAACAGCAAACAAAATAGTAGGAGTCTCAAAGGCAATGTCCTCGGGATGTTTGTTCTTATTACTGAAGCCTGATCTTTACCTTCCTCCATTCCCAACAATCTCGATTGCATCTTCTGGCTCTGTTTTTCCTCTATAAACCAAGCCAAGAAACACCCTTTTTTAAGACGAAAACATCTGCAAACGCATCATATACAGAAACGGATAGATCAAGCAAAGTCTGCAATTTGGATATTTGAAAAAGAAATAAAAGGAAGGCAATGAAAAATGAAACCTTTGGATTTGGGAGAACAAGTAGAATTCTTGTGTGTTTAGAATGTAGATTGTGTTTGTGTTTTGTTTGAAGCTTATGCTGCAATGTCCATTATTCCTCGGGAGAGTTGTTCTGAGAAGATGAAATCAAAAACATATGGTTAAGTCTCAATCTCTGAACCTATTCTCTCGTGAATCTCAACTGATTTCACAGACAATATTTTTGGAATTTTATATAAATTGGATCACATTTCAAAAATAAATTATTTGCTTGTCACAGACGGACAATATTTGTTTAAGTATTAACATTCAGGGGTGCTTTGTTTGGACCAACAAAATGCTTGTCAAATCCCAATCTTTATTATTAAAATGTAATAAGAACAAACCTTACAGATACTATGAGTATGTGGCAATCTCAAAATGGGAATTCGTATACGTGGATTCCGCTCTCCCAACTTACAACTATTGTGGGACTGAAAAGTTGTATTAAAGATCCACAAATATTACTATCCTTCATATAACATAGTATTTGATAATAAAAAAATTACAGCGTAGTAAAATGTATCTAATCATACCATTTTGCTTATTTAATCAAAATATTTTCATTATAAATTGAAATATGTTATACCTCTTCCGGATCTCTTACACAAATAATTCCAGAATAAGAGAACCTCTGGAGGATATCTTCTATCAATCACAAACTTTGAAGTCCCATGCTTTATGATCAGTCAACCCCTTGACAAGACAAGTGCACGTGGTCTGCCTAGCCAAATCTATTGTTAGATGATTACATCCATTCGACTTGTTAGTCTACAAGTAGTCATCATTATCCTAAGCCTAAAACAAACAACAAGAGTTACTATACAATCCCTCAGTCAAGATTGAGGAAGATTGGGGGAGGGGATATATCATCTTCCACCTCATTCTTCTATTCAACATTTTTAAAGACCAAACAATGTTGATCGTCTCTAATATCACCATGAACCATCGGTTACAGTTCTCCGTTGAAATCAAAAGAGGTGAACTGCTTATAGTCGCCATAATCCAAATGTTATCATCAACAATTGGTGTGGTGAACATGGATCAGCTCCTGATAGAAATGAATCAGTCGAGATGCAATTCCAATAGCAAAATAATCAACATCACCTCCCATTTACGTCCTAAAAATCTCCCTCGGCATATTTGGTTGTTTCTGGCCAATGGCTGTAAATTGAGTTGCAAAACTTGTATGCACGAACGTAAACCTCTCGAGTTGCCTAATTGCAGCTGCAGCAATAAAACCGACGAGCTCCCCATCAACACGGGAGCACGTGATGAGGAGAAGAAGAAAGGGAGGACAACATAGGCAATGCAACACACTCTGCTCATTCGGATCACCCTTACGAGTGTTAGAAATGATAGACAATGTCGTTTAGGGCATTACTTTTACAAAGCATGCCCCTCGACTTGCCCTAGTTCGAACTTGACGCAAATCTCTTCAATTTAACAGTCTGAACATATGGACAGAAAAGATGGCATGTGCCGAGCAAGCACTAGCAACTATAATGACTCAAAATTTTTAGTCAACATTAAAGCGTTAATCCGAAGTTTAATCAAATGAAATAATTATAGTATGAAGGTCTCATGGGTCAAATTTGAATTCAATCAAGTGAGAAATTGACTTAATTCAGGGATAAGAAAGGATTTTTTATCTTAAAAGAAAAGGAACTAGATTATAAATTTACCTATAAGCAAAACTATGATTAATTTTAAGGGATTTTCAGCTGGATTTACCTGATTTTTTTTAATTTTTGATCTTACCATAGTTTTATCTATTTTTCTTCTTCTTCTTCTTCCCTCACCTAAACAAAACATTGAGAAAAAGGCTTTACAGTTCTCCTCTTCTAAGTATCAATCCAAAAATCTAAGGTAAGAATCATAATCTATGGATCATGAGCTTCAAAATATGCTCTCCATCTTTTTTAATGGTGCTCTTAAGCTCTTTTAGGATTTTACGAGGGTTTAAGCTCCAAAAGCTTCCTCCAATATTTTCATTTGAATTAGTGGGAGAGTTGTGGGAGCTCTCTAAGAGGAAAGACAAAGAAAGATTAGTTCTAGGGTGAATTAGAGGGGTTAAGTGGCTTGGGTGTTGACGTAACACACTCTAATTCTCTCATACTACTCGTAGATCATGTACATTAAGTTTGCTTGCTTGTATTATGTTTGGAAGCATGTTGTGTGGCTCTAGAGCTTATGGATCAACGTAGAAAATCTAGACATTAGATTTGTGTAAAATGACCTTTAATACTTTCATAAACTGTAATAATCATCACATGACTTAAAATAATGTTTAGTATGAGTTTGGAGTATTTTTTTGTAATGTAACATGAGTATCGATACCATATGAATTGATATTGATATTGTTTTCCATAAGATAAAAATATGGGTTCTTATAAGGGGAAGTATCAGTTTCTAGATTCGCAACGCGAATTTCGACTATCGCAACGCGAACTTCGACTATCGCATTGCGATTTTCCAAATTCCTGTTGCGATTTACATATTCGCATTGCGATAGTCCAAGTTCGCATTGCGATAGTCGGAGTTCGTGTTGCGATTTTCCAAATTCGTTGCGATAGTTGAAGTTCGTGTTGCGATTTACATATTCGCATTGCGATAGTCGAAGTTCGCGTTGCCCAAAATCGCAACGACTGGTGGTATTGCATTTGTTTCTTAAGAATTTTCTCTAAAAAGATAGTATTCGCGCGGACGTGTCGAAGACACGTATTACCACGACCACGAGACGACGGCGCGCGAGAGTCCCCCTTGTTCTCTATCACTCAACAAGGAAATGGGAAAGTCAAGTCTTAAATACCATTCCCAATAGTGTTTCCAATACTATGTGGGATTGAGCATTACCAATACTTGTTTCTAATACTATGTGATTATTCAAGAAACAATTAACAATCATGCACATTAAAATAACTGAATCAGCAACCAATTGCATTAGTATTATACGATTAAATATGTCATAATTAAAAGTCAATCTACAATCACATAATTTGATATCTAATGTAATTAAAAAATCTCTTATAATTGTAATTATGGGCACAAAAAAACATGAAAACTAAAAGTCATGTTCTGATTATCGCAATTTTAAGTAAAAAATTCAAAAAAATTGCATCACTCGCGAGAATAGAAAAAATTGTTATCGTGCAATTACAATCAATTGAAAATAAATTAGAATTGCATGAAAACTAAATGAACCACAAATACTTTTCATACAAATACTAAAGTCATTAACTATAATTCACAAATAATATCACTATTTAAGGCTCAATCCCACGTAGTATTGGGAACAAGTGTTGGTAAAGCTCAATCACACATAGTATTGGAAACACTATTGGGAATGGTATTTAAGGCTTGGCTTTCCCACTTCCTTGTTGAGTGATAGAGAACAAGGGGGACTCTCGTGCGCCGCCGCCGCCGCCGTCTCGTCTCGGGTCGTGGTCGTTGCGATTTTGGGTAACGCGAACTTCGACTATCGCAATGCGAATATGTAAATCGCAAAGCGAACTTCGATTATCGCAATGCGAATATGTAAATCGCAACGCGAATTTGGAAAATCGCAATGCGATAGTCGAAGTTCGCGTTGCGAATCTGGAAACTGATTTGCGATACTGAAGATCGCATTGCGATTTTGTTGGTCATTTTGGCAAATCCAAAAAAAGTTGGTCAAAATCGTATATTACAAGGCATTTTCGATCACTGAGATTATTTTCTCTTATTATTATTAGTCTCGGTATTACTATTACTATTAATAACTGTGTTATTACTATTAATATTATTATTAGTTTTAGAAAATAATAAACCCTATTAAATCAGAGTAGCCATTATTAAGGTAGCATATTTTGGTATGGCATGAGGCATACAAAGCTAGTCATGAATGAGTTGACTAGCTCTTGAATTGTTTGAGATGGATTCGATCCGAACTCGGTTAACGTTTGAATTGGGTTGACTCTACTCAATACATTAATGAGTTGCGTTGAACAAGATCCAATTTGGCTAAATAAGTTCGTGAGCAATTCATTAATTTTTTTATAATTTTTAATAGTTACCTTTAAAAATTATTCTATTAAAAAAAGTCTAATTAATAATTATTAATTTCCTAATTTATTAATTTTTATTAATTTATTAATAAATTATTGATTAATAATTATCACTAATTTATTAATTTTTTAATATACAATAAATATATTAAATTATTAATTCACTAGATATACATGTAGTTAAAAATAAGATAAAAATTCTGGTGAGTTTAACTAGCAATTTGATTTTTTAATGAACACAAGTCAAGGAAAATTTTATTGAACTTAACGAGCAATGAATTGAGTCTAGCAACAAATTTTTTAACGAGCATGAGTTGAGCACTACTCATGATGAAGGCTTATGGTGATAATTATAATACATGATCATATAATCTAGAGGCAGTAAAATAGTTTACTCACAAAATTTACAAATTTATTGTGCTTGCATGTTGAAAAAAGAAGATGAGGAGTGGAAAAAAGGGTCAGACATGGTAGCCTGTAATGGCGAAGCCTCTTCCAATGATTTCTCCACCAAAGAACCATGTGTAGCACTCAACTCCAATCAAAGCAGCCATGCTTGCATTCTCGATGTTCCATGCTTCCCTTGTTTTTAGAAACTCTTTCAGACAATGAAGCTCTTTCCAGAATGCCTCGTGCCTTCTCGGAATACTGCGTTTTCAGATGCAAACAGGCAATAGCAGGGAAGGATTAAACACAAAAGAGATTTGTGTTCGATTCATTGAAAGTACCTGGCAAGTCGAGTATAAAACAATTGTTTTGCCAACAATTGGCATGTTTCTATGTTGGAAGGTTCCTTGATGTAGCTCTTGTTTTTTTCCATCAGCTCCTTGTAATAACAACTTCCATTCTTGGTCACCAACTCTGAAATCTGAGCAGCCTTTGTCTGAAACTGTTGAAGCCTTGATGCCATGGAAATTACCTTGAATCAGCAAAAAACATCATGCCTTTGGGATGTCAGCAAATCTGCAACTCTAAATACTCCAAAGTTTAATATAACAGACAACAACAATTAATCGAAACGAAACCTAAATAGATAATGATGAAAATGTTTCAAAATTCTTCATAGAACAATACTTCTAAGTTTTTTTTTTCTTCCAAATGACGAACAAAATGTAAGCATTGATAAACAAGTAGCCATTTCTGGAGAATTTGGAATAAGTAACAATGTAACCAATATTACCCTTTTCGATTAAATGATTTCCTTTTGTCTTGTTTTAGTTTTCGGCCAAAATGTGAGGCCTCAACTGTGTGATATTGGAAGGGCCGAGTCCACTGATATGAAGCCATGAAAATAGGGGAAGCTTAGTTGTTTGCCATCAAAATAGGGGAAGTTTAGTTCTCTACTTTGGACTAGTTTTTGAAGTATTCAAATGGTAATCACGTCATTTTGCAAATAAAATATATGTAAGATCAAATTATTTTATTAGTCCGTGTACTATGAGAATGTTATGAATTCAGTCATTATACTCTAATTTATTTATTTTTAATACATGTAATTTTTAAACTTTTTATTTTGAATCCTAAACAAACAATTAAACATGTCAAATTCAATTCTACTAATAATACCCTAGGCTCTAGCATACATAAGTTGTGAATACTTTTTTTACTAACTGATTTATATTGAGATATTGCAGACACTAATTTAATCACTTTAAGTTTTATAATTTAATTATTTTATATTTGTATTGTATTAAGTTAGGATTAAAATTTCAAATTCTATAAAATATAAATTCTAAAATTAAACAAGTTAGTGTGTATAGACATAATACAAGGACTCACAACAAGATTTGACCTACATGTAATGCTTGGGGGTACTTGCACATTCGATTTTGATGAATTTTACCCATAATGGAAATAGAACTCAATCCTCAATTTTGATGATATTTAGAATAGGTTCATATATACTTATACTTGAATTTCAAGGAATACAAAATTGAGACTTTCTTCAACTCTGTGGTTGATTGCAGATGAAAACCCATTTCACCATATCTTTCAAGTGTGGTTTACGGTATTCAAGGCAATGTTATCTGTAGTCTCGATATTATCATTGTTGCTGTAATCGTATTCATACGCATATCATATACACATTAGTATCAATAAACACCAATACAGGAACAAAAACATACATCCATCAATAGGTATTACCTCCTTGGATTGAGAAGAAAAGATACAATTATCTAAAACTAAAGATGAAGTTCCAAACATGACAAAAGAATCAATAAAAAAATTGCAGTGATGGTTTTGACAGCTCCTTCCCACCAACATTTACCTTAAACCTAAGTGGCAAATATAGAACATCCTTTAGTTTTCTTGTAGGAGAGCTACAATCGCATTTGCTGCTAACTTCAACCCAACACATATCTAAAAGCATCACTACATCTATTTTAAAGGATCTCGGGGGGGGGGGGTAGACGAAGTAAAAAAAGAGGAGAGGAAAATGAAACGAACAGGCTGAAGGAATTTTCAGGGATCGAGAGAAGAGGAGGACAAGACACAAGATAACGAGAATTAAGCTGTGCACACCTGTGAACAGTTATAGGTTTGCATCCTCATGGATATGTGACAGCCATTTCTTGATCTTGAGACTACCATATGTTACGGATTCTGGGTGACACTGGAGTGCGGGACTCATTTTAGGCTTTAATTCGCTGCTTGGAAGGAACGGGAAAGGAGCTTTCACCATCAGACAACTGGAAAAAAAAAGTTAAACCAAGCAAGTACATTTCTTGGATGATCTTTATGCATAGTACATGTATAAGCTGTTAGCAGCAGCACAGGCAATCAAGTTTTCAGTTGGGTGCCATGCTAGGTGCAGCAGCTTTGTCGTGAAATCAAAAGAATTTCCATTCGCATCAACTCCAGGAGTCTCTGATCCTGATGTGACAAATTCACCACCATAATAGCTTCAGAGCACAAATCAAGAAATAAAATAAAAAAAAGTTCATTAAGCTGTACCCTGCACCAGAAGGTGTCCAAGGAAGAAAATAATCAAAAGGAAAAAAATGTACAACAAATCATAACCTCTTCTGACAACACGTGTTATACTGCTTAGGGGTCTGGAAGGCCTTGTGGGAGCCAGAACTTGTCTCCTGGAAAGACAAATGGATGTATATAACTACTTAGATGTACTTTTATTTAATTGTACTTTATTTTTGAAAGGTTGCCCTGGAGTGAAATTTTACCTCATTGGATTTTTGCTGGCTTCCAAAGTTGTCGACTCGGTGCTTCCAGGGGCACAACCAAATACACGGAATAGATTGCTGAGAGTACAGGGAAATATATATAATGTTACATGGAAGAACAAAACAACAACAAAAGGTTAGGAGACAGTTTTGGATGAAAACAAACCTATAGGAACCTGTTGCCACTCGCAATCCATCACCACTTAGGCAACATTCAAATTTGTCAAAGATTGAATCATTTTCATACAAATCACACAGCTGAAACAATTAAAGAATGCAATAAAAAGGTCTGTCAAAGCATAACACAGATATGGTTAATTTCATCATCTGTTTCAGAGCATAGAAATGTACCTTAGGTCGTAAATATTCATGAACCTGGAATGTTGCAACTGGACCTGAATCCATATTGATGTCCCACAACTGACAACCAAGTGACATGTAATCAAGTCAAATGACAAGTCCTAAAATTCCCATTAAGGACATATCAAGTGCATATGATTCCGAGGACACAATAAGTTTAAAACCAACTTCGGAAGTCTTACAGCTTAAAAGTGGGCATACTGGTAAAAAATTTAACAAAAATGTAGATACTGATCTGTACTAACCATATTATGAGGGATTCAAATTTAAGTATGTTCAGAGATTAAAAACATGAAAGAAACGACACGTGATTGATTCAACAGTGAATGGGGAAGGAATGCTCAACAGCAACTTTAAAATGATTGGATATATTTATGCTCAATGAAGAGAAGCTATTATAACATTTAATCCTAACCCCCAACTGTTTCATGCATTCATGATAAGCTCTCTAAAGAATAAATTAAATTGTTTGACTATCTGAGTCCAAGCCGAAATGCCAACAAGCCGATCGTTGTTTCCATTTTAATCACATTTGTGTTAAATATATAAAAACTTAGAAGGTTTTATCAGACAGATATTTGCAGAAAAAGACCATGGCAGTTTCATGCTTTCTGCATAAGACATTGCATCAATGCAGTCAAATCCTTTAATTGTCTTAATAAGGTGATAGATAATTAAGTCAGGGTCACATAAAGTCATTGTGGTATGCTTAGGAAGAATTGCATCCATAATGTGAAGCTCATGCAATGCAAAGTAATTATATGTCAATACCGAAAACAAGAAGACAAAGCAACACCTTAAGAGTCATGTAATCACGGCTAAGAATATATCTTCCGTCCTTTGAAAATTTAATATCTGAGATTGAGGCAATTATCTCCGTAAAAAATGATCTAGATCCAGGTGCCTCCGGTTCTTCAAACCTGTTGTCATAGAATATTAATTATATTTTAGAAAGAATACTGAAAGGACATGGTAAATATATAATATCCTCACATATCAGGATTTATCAAAAGAAGCGATCAATGGTATAACACTTACAGTTTGGCGTGAGAATCACACAAAGCTGATTGGCGCAAATCAATGAGACGAATTGAACCCTTTGAACTACTATAAGCTAGCATGTTACAGTGGGTAGGGTGAAACTCAGCTGATGTTATAACCTCTGCAAAGATAGATATGAAAATAGTTCAAATCTTGCTTTCGAGAATTTATTAAACAGCACTGAAGTTGCATACACTTTCAGAAATGAAAGGAGCAACCAAAAGTACCAACATGTAGGAGACTACTTACCAGTTAGATCCTCCATGTTTGCAGGCTTTACATCAACGATATTGAAACTTTGACTGCTAATTTCCAAGTTCCAAAGATTTATACGCAGATCATCAGCTGATATAAAAGTTTCCCCGTCACTAGGAAATATAAGAGAGGCAGAGAGAGTAACAGACTATCAGTATATCTTTGAAAATCAAACTAATATGAAAGCAAAACACTGAAACTGGATGTGTTTTGAAACATAACAAACAAGCTTGTCATACAACAGCTTACTATTTCCCGATAAAATACAAAGTGCATACAATCCTAAAGCTTAAATATTGCCATAAGGATTTCCAAAGACATTACATGAATAGGAATAACAGCAATTCAGAAACATCGTGTACAGACAATTCAACTTCAAGACAAGTACTAGATAATTCTATGATAAAAGATTAATACTTCAAGATTCAAATATTTCAACTAAATAATTTAATACCTCAAGGGTTGCATGGGACAAAACATGTTCAATAGATAGAGCCTATTAACCAAGTTCTCATGAAAAAGTGATGTCTCCAAGGGTAAAACAGAGAGGAATAACTTCTGAGGAAAACTCCATCCATATCATTTACATTCTATGGTTAGAAGTTCTCCAGTTTTCTCAATGTCACAAACCAGTCTTTCATTTCTAAAGCATGAACAGTGTCCCCAAAGACCATTTCAGAATGACAGCTTCTTGCTTGGACACGATAACATTAGTTCAGAACATAATGTTATCAGGAGGGAATCGAGATTCATTATCTCTTTACTTGAAAAATCAATCATCCTTTATCATTATTAATAGATATTCATATGCCTTCAACAAAACATAAAATTAGGGTGGAAAATGAAAAAGAAATAGAAGCACAATCAGTGCCAGTTTTAATCTCTAATCCAATTAAACCTTAAAGAAATAGAGTCACATTCTCAGGAGATACCTCAGAATGATACTGCAAAGTAGTAAAAAGAATATATAAACAAAAACACGACAGAGGTTAAGCAATTATCAGACTAAAACTCTTTATAAGTGCATTGAAGTGTGGGCTGATGAATACTTTTCATCCATCAGAGAAGAAAAAGGTAAGATTCTTGATCCTACTACATATTATCTAGGAAAAAGAAA